TCCAGGCAAATATTAAAATGTTCTGGAAACTCGTAAGAACTGCCAGGGGATGTTCAAAACAGCCTATAATGAATGCTATAAGAGATGAGAATGGCTATATTCTGAATGATGAAGTTTTGAGTTTAAAGAGATGGAAGGAATATTTTGAAAGCATGTTTATGAGTGAGGAGACAACGTATGAACTGAATGAAATAGGAACTCCGAAAGAAGAGGAAGAAGGTAGCGAGATAAGTATAGATGAAATAATGAAAGCAATGAGAAGCATGAAAGCAGGTAAGGCTGCCGGATATGATAGAGTTTCACTCGAAATGCTAAGGGCTGGAGAGGAAGTGGTGGCAGGCCTGCTGCACACCTTGTTTAATTTATGCTGGGAACTGAAGCGGGTACCGGGAGACTGGTGCAAAGCCGTGATAGTCCCAGTATATAAGGGAAAAGGGTCGCAGCAGGACTGTAAAAACTACCGCGGTATCAGCCTTCTTAGCATCGTGGGAAAACTGTATGCCAAGGTACTAATTGAAAGGGTCATGAAAGAAACCGATGGAAAAATTTGGGATGTGCAAGCGGGATTTAGAAAGGGAATGGGATGTACAGGTCAAGTCTTCTCCATGCGCATGATCGCGGAGAAGTTTTTGGCCAAAAACCAAAAGGTTTTTTGTGCGTTCATGGACTTGGAGAAGGCCTATGACAGAGTGGATAGGAATGTGCTATGGCAAACACTGAACGCATTTGGGTTGAGCGCTGGCTTGATACAGGCATTGGAATCTCTTTATAGGGACTCTAGTGCTTGTGTTAGGATCAACGGGGTCTACTCGGACTGGTTTGGCATTCATAAAGGTGTCAGACAGGGCTGTGTGGCTTCCCCGTGGTTGTTCAACCTATTTATGGACAGTTGTTTGCAAAATTTGAAAGTTGAAGAATGCGGATTAAGAATGGGTGAGTTAACCATCAAATGCCTTTTGTACGCCGATGATCAAGTTATTCTTGCGTCGTCGGCGGCTGAGTTGCAAATGATGGTTACATTAATGAACAGATCATTAAAAGAAAGGGGTATGAAAGTGAACGCAAGTAAGACAAAAATTATGGTTTTTGAAAGAGATGAAAGTAAAACGATATGTGAAATAAGAATAGAAGGGGAGTTGATCGAGCAAGTAGATGAGTTTGTATATTTGGGTTGCGTATTTAGCAGGGATGGGAGATATGATAAGGATATAGAACGACGAGTGAACGCAGGAAACAGAGTAAATGGAGCCCTGCACTCTATTGTGAAGAGTCAAAATGTGTCAAAAAAGGCACGTATGGCAATTCACAATGCTGTGTTGGTCCCTACTTTAACGTATGGTAGTGAAAGTTGGGTATGGCAGAAGAAGCACGAGAGTAGAATAAATGCAGTAGAAATGCGGTCGTTAAGGAGTATGTTAGGGCTGAATCTGAATGACAGGGTGAAAAATTGTGTGATAAGAGAAGAGTGTGGTTTGCAAGATGATGTTGTGACCAGGATTAAGAAAGGAATGCTTCGGTGGTTTGGTCATGTGGAAAGAATGGATGAGGAAAGAGTGACAAAGAAAATTTATGTTGCAGAAGTGAATGGCAGAGTCGGAAAGGGACGTCCTAGGCGAAAATTTATCGACCAAATTGGCGATTTATTGAAAACGGGCCAAATTAGGAGTACCCTTAACCGACGAGCATGCATGCGTAGGTGTATGGATGTGAAGGAGGCGAGAGAGGTGTGTCAGGATCGTGCCAAATGGAAGTCTGTAGTCTCTGCCTACCCCTCTGGGTGACAGGCGTGAGTGTTTATGTTATGTTTATATGGAACTGATTTTCATTTTCGTTCATCATCATTATCATTAGCTCGTGACAAGTCCACACACTGCCAAACATAGGCCTTCTCCAAGGATTACCACAAAGCACGGTCCTGAGCCATCTGCATCAACGGACTCCTGCATGTATTACCAGGCCATCACTCTATCTAAAAGTGTGGTGTAACTTACACTTCGTTTACCAGTTTAAGGTTGGAACACGAGAACTTTTCTTCCTCATCGGTTGTCGGCTAATTGAGCTATATGACCGACTCCTTACCACTTCAGCTCACTGGCTCATTGTTATTTTGATTGTATTTTAAGAGAACAGAATAGGCTGTCTATTGGCCGCATGATTCACATATCTTCAGGTGGTCTATGTGCTTGAAAGGTTATATTTGGTACAGGGGACAGAAGATACAAGATAAAAATCTTACTCAATTGACCAAATGTATAATCAATAGATGCTACTTTTAACATGTAAAGTTTTTACTACTACCGTTAAAGCCTATCAAAAGTTCTTGGTTTAACATAGGCCTCCCCATGGATTACATCATAGGGGGGATTTTGCCCCAGCCCTCAATCGCCACTGTAGGGAGGCGGGTTGGCAACCGCAGATTTTTACAATTTTGAGTTGTTAACAGGAAGATGATGAAAAATTAAAAAAATTAAAATGTTTTATTTGTCTCAAAACAGTTACACGTATTATAAATGAGATATCCCCAGTAAGTAATTAATAACACTTGTGTTGGGGCTAATGCTGCTAATATGATATATTAGCACCATCAGCTATGATGATAATGGACTAGGATGCTGCTGCCCATTTTCTGGATTTTTTCCCTCTGTAGCCTCTTACAACACTCACGGAATAATAGTGGACTTTATACATCGTCACTACACGGTGTGTGATGTAAACACAACAAAATATTTTAATATCTCTAAATACCTTACAGAGAATTATGATGTTATGTCATGTAATAATTCGCTCTAACCTCAGAGCTTGCGTGCACATCTATGTCATGTACACTTAATTTTAATTTATTTGAACTCCTGAATTTAATGAAGACTACCTTCTTTAAGAAATTCTCTACGCTCACCATACAAAACACAGCAGCATTAAGCTGCTATTCCACGCTGGTATTCTTTGAGAGCGTGGTCCCACCGCGGTTGAGCCGAAATATCTACAACGATAATATGGCCTCTATCACGTATAAGACGTATGTTGCTAATTTGATTACTTTTACACATTGTAGTATAATACACTTATACTATGCATTAAATAAAACTAATTTTACTGAATTTATTGCTTTTAATTTAAACTTTTTAGAGTGATATGTGGGGTGGGGTGGCTCCCCACTAGATGGATTGATGACCTGGTAAGATATGCGAGGATGTTGATGGATGCAGGTGACTCAGGGACACGCTTTATGGCATTCCTTGGGGGAGTACGAGGCTGCCACTCGAGAACCTTTTTTCCCCGACGGTTGTCGGTTTTTCGAGCTATATGACCGCCCCATTGACACTTCAGCTTACTAATCCGTTGGACTATGTCGGTCACTCCGGTGCTCATCAGGATATCCGTAGATCGTCATTTCTAAGTTTATCACGCAGAGAAATCCCGAGTAGAGTCCTCTCCATAGCTCGCTGAGCGACTTTGAGCGTCCTCACACGTCCAGAATTGAAGGACCACTTCTCAGTTCCATAGGTAATCACTGGCAACACGCACTGTTTGTAGTCTCTTTTTCAGGTCTTGAGGTATAGCTAACGAGAAGATGTGTCGTAATTTTTTCGAACGCTGCTTAACAAATATAAAGATGTTTTAATCTTAATTAACCTTTACAGAAATATTTATTCGAGGCCGATGAATATATTTTAATTAGGACCGATTTTTCATTCGTCAGATAAAAGTTGTCTATCGAATAAATTATAACATGACTGAATATAAAAGTAAAAAATAAAACTATTTTGTTCTTACAACAGTTATTTTCAATTTTATGTTTTATTTCAGTCCATGAATAAATGTTACCTAAAAATTGAAAAATCGTCCGTAATTAAAGTAAAATGAATTTGGATTCCGTACTGGTCTAAAATCCTCACAGTAAAGAAAGAAAAAACGAGTTCCCAGTTGTGGAATAATAGACTTCACTTTTTATTCATTTTTGTGTGTAGATTAACGTTGCAGATGTACCATATTAGTAGTATTATGTTACATAGTATACCAACTTAAAATAGCATCATAATGCTTCTATTGTGTTTCGTTTGGGGAGATCAGAAACACAAAAAACATAAACAGAGCGACGAAGCGGGACATTTCAAACGAAACCACGTTCAACTTCTTCACAACTCCTATCACAAGCTCTCACACACACACGCACGCACACACACACACACACACACACACACACACACACAAACACACAGCGCGCGCGCATGCACGCCTGCACGCATTCACGCACGCTCGTCAGCAACCAAGCATGCACGCACAGATGCACGCACGCACGCACTTACGAACGCACGCACGCACTCAATCATTAAAATGTTATTGCTGGACGCACGCAAATCCGCCTAAACCATGTTGTTAATTACAAATTATTTAGATGCATATGTTTACGGGGATGCGTGTTCTCACAATGAATTGAGCATGGTATTGGTTTTCGCGTCATTTGAGATGTACGCAGTGCTCCGAATTTCTTCCATTATTAGTCTGAGACTGAATCTGAACCGGACCTTCTTAACTGGTATAGACATTGCATCTTAGTCTTCAGGGTATCAATGCTTCAGTTTCGAGTCTTAATCGAGAATGTCTATATGCAACAAACAATGAGAACGTTTTAATAACTATATGGCTGAAATCAATATTAACAGAACTCCAGCGTAAAATAGCAGCTTAAAGCTAACCAGCAAAAAATAACAATAATAGAAATCCGAAAACCTTTTTTTACTGGAAACGAGGCTTTCCATCTTTATCCTCAAGAATGTGATAACGCAAGTCCATTTTGATTCTTAATCCAAGATGGATGTAGATGTACGGATGATACGGCATGACGGTGAGTGGATGATGGTTTATAAATAAAAGACCCTTTTTTAATTCTTCAACAATTTTTTTGATTTAAATGCACCGAAAACGTGGAAATTAAATTTTTTCAGAATAATTCGTAAAAAAATCGTAAATAATTTATCGATAGCTATCGATAGACATCATTAAGCATAGTACGATTGATACAGTCTAATAAGGTTGTTTAAATAGTTGTACATAAAACTCTCGTAGGACCCATTCTCAAAGCACTTATCAACGCTGACACATTCACCGCAATCGTTGCGCACTAGACCCGGAGCGCAGACGCACCCAGGCACGCAGATCTCCGGGCAAACTGGGTTAGTGTTGTTGCATGATGGCTGACAGCGTGCATTACACGTGCTATAGACTTCATTCTTGGGGCAGCGATCTAAAATTCAATTAATTTATGTTACATAAAGTTACAACCTATATACGTCCTACTTCTGGGCACAGACCTCCTCTCGTTTCTAAAAGGGTTCTAGGTGTTTCATGCGTGTTGGTAATGTCCGTCGCGCTGCTTCTATGCGTGTTGGTGAACTTCACATGCCTTCAGAATATGTTGATGATCTTTGATCTGATTGATGCAGATGTCACGATGTTTTTTCTTCACTTTCACTTCACCGCAGAGCACATGGTAAAGCAGCACATAAAATTGCAATTAACAACTGCATTGGTGCCCGCAGGAATTTGTCCGTGGCTTGCGTACTGTGAGCTGCCATACTCCGGAACTACCATGGCTCTCATTTCAATTAAATAATTATATATAAACAATTTGTATTAAATCTGCTACGTGAGCTACCCAGGTTGGATCCGCCTTTAACAATAAAAATGTTCTTTGAGGAAAAAATCGTGAGGAAACTGTGCCAAGCAGTGGGACTATTATAGGATAACTTTTGTATATCATCAAAATGACAGAACATCCGTATCCGTATATATCGTAGCCAGGAAAGGACAGAGAGTTATATGAATATATTAAAACATTTTTACAAGTGGTAGAGTCACGCTGTAGCACGAATAATTAGGCTTGACCACGCTCTCGCAGGATACCAGCCTAAAATAGCAGCTTAACGATTCGTGTAGATAACCAGAATGTTCTTTACTTTGGAAATGACGCTTTATATCTCAATAGAGGATAGATGTAGATATCCATAGGCCAGAGCATCCACTTAAGTGAAATGTGTGCAAGTTTTTCACCCTTATTTTATAATAAATGGAGATTATATAGACAGCCCTTTTTTCCTTTAAAAACGTACTCAAAGCTTATCACTTTTCTCTAATACATTAGAATCCTTCCTTGTTTTGAAACAGCTAGATTAGTGCATTTCAGTTATTTCTATATAAATATGTCGTATGAAATCTTGCTATGTGTTAATGCGACTGATATTAAACTGTCTTTCTTTTACAGTAGAGCCTTTTATATCCCAAATCCAAAAAAATACCTTAGGGAAACTTTAAAATATACAAATATATATTACTATATAAAGTGTAGTGCTGGACTTAGAATATCCACTACCCATATCGTCCCGTGGATTTTGTGAAAGACAACAGAGAGAAACAAACCAGATTATGGGGAATATACTAAAGTTTATCTCCTCAACAAGTCCAAATACTTTATTGAACAAAGTTTGTATAAAAAGGATTTAATTAAGGTTTGCTACCAACGATTGCTACCAAGTTATTTCTAATTTGTTATGTGCTGTTAATTGTGTAACATATACGATTGCAAGATGTTATTTCATTTTTGAAAAAAAAAGTCCCGCTGGGTTTATAGCCTGGGAAGACCAGGAGGTAGTTTCCAAACCAGTGGTAATTAAACATGAGAGTGACTATCGATGAGTATTATTTAAATATATTCTGTATCTGTGCAGCAGCGTCGTACTAATAACAACTAAAAAAATGACAAAAAATAAAAACTGCGGTCGCTAACCTGCCTGCCAAGCGTGGCAAATAGGGGGATCCCCTATAAGTCAATCTATGAGGGAGGTCTATTGTCAGCAGTGGACTTTTGATAGACTATAAAGGAGGGCTTACGATATACTTACGAAATGTTTATATACAACATGTAACATAATTAACGCACTTTGGGAAAGTAGTTTGCTCAGAATCGTTTACTGAATCGATTCCTATCATTTTTAATATAGGTAATTTTTTACATACATACATAAACACTCACGCCTGTCACCCAGAGGGGTAGGCAGAGACTACAGACTTCCATTTGGCACGATCCTGACACACCTCTCTCGCCTCCTTCACATCCATACACCTACGCATACATGCTCGTCGGTTAAGGGTACTCCTAATTTGGCCCGTTTTCAATAAATCGCCAATTTGGTCGATAAATTTTCGCCTAGGACGTCCCTTTCCGACTCTGCCATTCACTTCTGCAACATAAATTTGATGACCAAACCACCGAAGCATTCCTTTCTTAATCCTGGTCACTACATCATCTTGCAAACCACACTCTTCTCTTATTACACAATTTCTTACCCTGTCATTCAGACTCAGCCCTAACATACTCCTTAACGACCGCTTTTCTACTGCGTTTATTCTACTCTCAGCTTTCATACCATACCCTGTAAGCTCTGACAGCGCGCGACATGTTATACTCCCGTTCGCTCGGGACCGTAATGGCGGGAAAATTTGAAAATTAGCAAATTTTTTGCTATATTGCAAATTTTGCTATATTTTCACTTTGAGACAATATTTATGGATAAAACTTACAGGAATTCTTGTTGAATGTATAAACTATCGAATAAAATTATTTTTGGTTGCTAGAAATTGTAATAAAATACGTAAATTACCCTGTATAGCTGTATAGTGGTATATACTTCAATGTTAGTGACAAAATTACTACTAATTTGAATTCTACACATTTGTTTTTAGAGAAATTTATATGAAAATGTTTGGAAATATATATATTTTTATGTTTTATGTGTTTCCATTCGTTACTCATACCAAAATATTAAAATATAAAGAAATTAAAAAAAATAATAATAATATTTTATCTGTGTGACATTTAGAACAATATTTCTAAAATAGTTTTGTGTGAATTTGAAATAAATACAACGTCAAGTTATTTGAAATATATAAGAAAACTATTTTTACTTACATTTTACACTAAAAATAAATGAGAATTTGAAAAATAACACATTTATGACCCAGCCGCCATAATGGGCCTTCCAGATTTTGAAGCACTTTTGGCAATTTACTTTTCACTTTTTATACCACAAATTATATATATATATATATATATATATATATATATATATATATATATATATATATATATATATATATATATATATATGTGTTCACTATATTACAAGGAATATAAAAAAGTATAACACTTTCGTTTTTAGTCCAGACACAAATATAAAATTCTATAAAAAAGACGGAGCACCTTCATCAAAACGCCACGTGGAACGCCGAAAGTTCAGAGTGATTTCTTTTTTTTTTTTCTAAGAAACATTGCCAGCTTATGGTTTAAAATAAAAGAGCATATCTTTGTCTTTGATACTATTATCTATTGCATAGTGTCTTTGGTTTTGTTTAAAATGAAAAAATAGTTTTTTCATAGGTACACATGTTTATATAATTCTGATCAAATTAGATCACTGCTTGGCGGACGTAAGGTAGGTATTGTATGATCAAAAGTGCGCATGGCTTGGCTTACAGGAAGTAGGGACCAACACAGCATTGTGAATTGCTATACGTGCCTTTTTTGACACATTTTGACTCTTCACAATAGAGTGCAGGGCCCCATTTACTCTATTTCCCGCATTCACTCGTCGTTCTATATCCTTATCATATCTCCCATCCCTGCTAAATACACAGCCCAAATATACTAACTCATCTACTTGCTCGATCAACTCCCCTTCTATTCTTATTTCACAAATCGTTTTACTTTCTTCTCTTTCAAAAACCATAACCTTCGTCTTACTTGCGTTCACTTTCATACCCCTTTCTTTTAATGATCTGTTCATTAATGTAACCATCATTTGCAACTCGGCCGCCGACGATGCAAGGATAACTTGATCATCGGCGTACAAAAGGCATTTGACGGTTAACTCACCCATTCTTAATCCGCATTCTTCAACTTTCAAATTTTGCAAACAACTGTCCCTAAATAGGTTGAACAGCCACGGGGAAGCCACACATCCCTGTCTGACACCTTTATAGATGTCAAACCAGTCCGAGTAGACCCCGTTGATCCTAACACAAGCAATAGAGTCCCTATAAAGAGACTCCAATGTCTGTATCAAGCCAGCGCTCAACCCAAATGAGTTCAGTGTTTGCCATAGCACATCCCTATCCACTCTGTCATAGGCCTTTTCCAAGTCCATGAACGCACAAAAAACCTTTTGGTTTTTGGCCAATAACTTCGCCGCGATCATGCGCATGGAAAAGACTTGATCTGTACATCCCATTCCCTTTCTAAATCCCGCTTGCACATCCCAAATTTTTCCATCAGTTTCTTTCATGACCCTTTCAATCAGTACCTTAGCATACAGTTTTCCCACAATGCTAAGAAGGCTGATGCCACGGCAGTTTTTACAGTGCTGCTGCGACCCTTTTCCTTTATATACAGGGACTATCACGGCTTTGCACCAGTCTACCAGTACCCGCTTCAGTTCCCAGCATAAATTAAACAAGGTGTGCAGCAGGCCTGCCACGACTTCCTCTCCAGCCCTTAGCATTTCGAGTGAAACTCTGTCATATCCGGCAGCCTTACCTGTTTTCATGCTTTTCATTGATTTCATTATTTCATGTATACTTATCTCGCTACCTCTTTCCTTTTCTTTCGGAGTTTCTACTTCACTTAGTACACATGTTGTCTCCTCACTCATAAACATGCTTTCAAAATATTCTTTCCATCTCTTACTCAAAACTTCATCATTCAGAATATAGCCATTCTCGTCTCTTATAGCATTCATCATAGGCTGTTTTGAATGTCCCCTGGCAGTTCTTACAAGTTTCCAGAACATTTTAATATTTGCCTGGAAGTTATCCGATATTCTTCTATCATTCTTATCCGTTCTTTCTTACTTTTTTCTTTCAACTACTTCTTTTACTCTCTTATTAAGATGTCTAAAGACTGCCTTTTTTCTTTCAATATCATCATTCGTACCGCTAGAATTACCAGCCTTTGTTGCTAGTAAATATAGCCATACTCTCTTCTTTGCTTCAACTTCCACACGTATCTCATCATCCCACCATTATGTATTATTTTTCCTTTCATTCTTTCTCTTACTAACACCACATACTTCGGTAGCTGCATCCACTAAACCTTTCTTTACGTTTTGCCATACATTCTCCAAGTCTAACTCCTTCATATATAATTCATCCAAACCACTTATATTTTCTTTCAGTCTACATTTGAACTTGTTTTTTTCACCTTCATCTTGTAACCTTTCTGTTCTAATACGTTGTAACGCAGTGGTAGACACAGATGATCGATGGCGCCAACGCCTGAACAGACCATTAATTCGGCATAAAACCAAATAATGATCCGTTCCTACGTTAGAACCCCGGTAAACCTTGTATCTACCTCTGCACCCCTCAGTCTTTCATCCACAATTATGAAATCTATCATGCTTCTATCGTCACCTCTTTCCCAAGTATACATGTGAATCCTCTTGTGGCGAAAGCAAGTGTTCGTCACAAAAAGATTCTTTTAAATACATAAGGTGAGGAGACTTTCACCATTCTCATTTATACTTTCATCACCAAACGTTCCCAATATCCTTTCATAACCAAGCCTCCTCACCCCAACCCTTCCATTAAAATCTCCTAGCATAATAATATTTTCATTTCCCTTACACTTCATTAACACCATCCTTACCATTTCCCAAAACTGCTCTCGGATATAAGTGGGCTTAGACATGTCTGGGGCGTACACCCCTAACACAAACAACTTCTTTAAGCCCACTTTCATTCGTATCCATAGCAGTCTTGGGCTTACACATTCATACTCTTACACACCTTCGCCCATTCTTTCTGAAAGGATGATACCTACTCCCTGGCATGCCCGCTCGATCTCGTCTACACCAGACCAGTATGCGGTATACATGCCATGTGTAGTGACATCCTTCCCCTTCCTTTTCGTCTCATTTACACATAACACATCTATTCCTCTATCATACATCATATCGCATACTTCATCCATTTTAACATGCATTGCCCCATATACATTCAACGTAGCCAGACCACTCTGCAATCCACTTTTCGCCTCTCCGGGAGACAGAACGTGACGGGTGGCGAACCTCGTCGCCGGTTTTCCTCCCGGAGATTCTTCGCACCCCTGCCCCATTAAAGGGGCGCCGGGAACTCGGGGCCATTTCTTTTATTTGGTTCCTCATGGTGCGAAATATGGGGTAGTATATTTTACGCCGCTACCACGGCGTGGGGCCGATTCTGTGGTATCGGCTTGTCGCTCATTTAGCACCACCCGGGGGACACGTGTAGGGTGGGCCTAGGAATAGGTGGTCAAAGCCTACGGACGCGAGCGACTTATCCCTTAATTTTTTATCCCAAAAATAATTAAAACTATGTAAATTACAGTTACACTAAATCTGTACAGTCAAAACAAACTGAAATGGACCGTAACTTAAGGCAATAAGGCTTTTAAGAGTGCAGTTTTATTTGTATTCCTAATTCTTCTGAATTGTATTACTAATTCTGTCATTCAATAAAAATAAAGAAAAACGAACTTTATTTCAAGCATGTTAGTCTTTGCATTCGTGGATTTTTACTGTGACCACAACATTCTTCCGGAATTAGTATAACTAATTTGATAAATAATCAGTGCATAAAAATGTTTTAACTAAAGATTCAGTGTATGTATTATGATTATAACATAATATACTAATTGGGGTGTCTGAGGGTGTGCGTTAATTACGTTACATATTGTATATAACGTAGGTAACAAAAATAAAAAAACCGGCCAAGAGCGTGTTGGGCCACGCTCAGTGTAGGGTTCCGTAGTTTCCCGTCCGTCACAATAAGTGTTCCCACATATGAGTTTAAAGGTGGGTATCCATTATGTTCGCGCTCCAGCAGCGCTCCACGCTCCTGCAACTGCTCCCGGTAGTGGGTACGTGCGCGAACATGGAGCGTGCAATATTGCACGCTCCGCGACAGGCGATGCCAAGGAGAGACCAACCGAACAATTCGATAATACCCGACCCAATGTAATAAGTACCTACAGGGCCATCTCTCGGGGAATTGGGTTACTAATTAATACATAGACGTGCCAGAAGTTTTCGGTGGTAATTTTGGATAATTTTTTAATAATTCTTTTTATGTTTGAAAAAAGATATGTTCAGGATAATAAAATATGTAAACGAAGTTAAAAAAAATGCCTGCTCTAAATCGATTATACTACAAACTTAGTCCAGAAATTATTTTGTACAATTTTTTGTCTTTTTTTGTACAAAAACTGTTTCCATCCAGGTTCAAAATAATTTTCCTAGAAAGTCCTTATAAAGTTCTACTTTTCAGCTTTTTTTCATATTTTCTGAACCTATGGTTCAAAAGTTAGAGGGGGGGGGGGACACATTGTTTTTTACTTTTGGAGCGATTATTTCTGAAATTATTGATATTATCAAAAAATGATTTTAGTAAACCCCTATTCATTTTCAAAATACCTTTCCAACAATATATCTCACGTAAGGGTTGAAATTAAAAAAAAAATCACTTCCCACTTTACATATAGGGGGGCTACCCTAATAAAACATTTTTTTCCAATTTTTATTTTACCACTTTGTCGGCGTGATTGATACGCATATTGGTACCAAATTTCAGCTTTCTAGTGCTAACGGTCACAGAGATTAAGCGAGGACGGACAGACGGACAGACAGACATGGCGAAACTATAAGGGTTCCTAGTTGACTACGGAACCCTAATAAAAACAGATAGAATGGGCTCGTTTTTCAAACTTAAGGGGGCTATAGTAACTCAGCTCAAATTCTAATTTCGCCCCCACTTCCCCGCGCGTCGTATGCTATGTACCGATATGTTTGTAATCACTAATACTATAAGTAGATAGGTCGTGTCGTGTGTGTGTGTGTGTGTGTGTGTGTGTGTGTGTGTGTGTGTGTGTGTGTGTGTGTGTGTGTATGTGTGTGTGTGTGTGTGTGTGTGTGTGTGTGTGTGTGTGTGTGTGTGTTGTGTGTGTGTGTGTGTGTGTGTGTGTGTGTGTGTGTGTGTGTGTGTGTGTGTGTGTGTGTCTTTTTATGCATGACTAATAATGATCACGACGACTACCCTCTTTACAAATCGTTTCTAGAATAAATTTTCTTTTTTGTCAAATCAAATACGAGTATGATAAGCGCAGACTGAAATATCCTTTAAGTACTTACTGTCAGCACATTTACTCTGCTCGATACACTTGCCGGTACTTTCGTCTCTGCAGTATCCTGGTTTACAGAAACAACCCGCTCTGCAAACTTGAATGCAAGCCTCAGGTGCAGGTTTGTTACACATTCGAGGACAAGCACTACCGCATGAGTTATACTCTTCATTCTCGCCGCAAACTTGATAAAATAAAAAATAAGTTTTTGTGTGAATTATATCAAAATTACCAATTTAAGAATTTTTTTTGGATGTTAAGATTTGTTACCTTAACATTCAAATAAATTTCCCTGAAAAAAAAAACATTTTTAACATTAAATTTGAATACTAGGTTGATCAATAAGTTTTCGGAATAAGACACTTATCAATGAGTTAAAGGTTCTATTTTTTCCATTTTTTTTTTCATTAAATTTGTTAGTTGCCGAGGCGTTAATTAAAAACTATGCCCAATTTTATTTTTCAAACTTCACATTTCGCGGAAATTAGATTCGTATGCGAAATGGAGAAACTCCAATTTCGTGCGGTTATTAAATATTCCTGCCTGAAAATTTTTTCTAGAAAAAGTATTTTTGAAGAACTGCATTCTACTTCGACAGACAATACGCCGTCTTAATCTACAGTGGCATACTGTGGGGGTGAATTTACGCAGCAGAATTAACACAGCACAACCGCCTCCAATGATGACACTTGTTCCGGGCGTCAAAAATAGCCAAACGTAAAAAAGAACCAAACAAATTGTTAAAGTAGATTGACGTGGGGCCATCCATTATTTAGAAATTCTAAATCTTTCATTTTGGGACAAATCAGTTTATTTAAACTTGTACCTTAAAATTCAAAAAGGTGGCCGCGCGCTGGGTTCCTCGAATGTTAACAGACGCCCAAAATAAAGCAAGTGTTGACATTTCAAATCTTAATTTAGAAATGAATATAGAAGACCAGATTTTTTGCCTTAATTTCGTACTCGTTTTTGAAACGTGAGTGTTTTGACCCGGAGACGAAAAACCAAAGCAAGGTGTGGAAAAGATTGTCTTCCCGCCAGTGAAGAGATTAAAGATGTCTGCTTTCGATGGAAAAATAATGGCCTCTGTCTTCTGTGATGCGGAAGGTATAACAATTATCGACTATTTAAGTAAAGGAGTGGAGTGCTTTTTCATCATGATATTGATGCCAATCGATCTTATGCTGAAGCAGCTGCCGTCCGAATTGCTGAATTTCAGTTAATGCAGCACTTACCATAGTTTCCGAACCTAGCTCCGAGTGATCCTGAAAAAGCACTTGCGAGGTATAAAATTCGACCGCGAAGATGAAGTGATGTGTGCTGTATAGGCGTAATTGAGTCCCAGGTTCAAGCTTTTTCTCCAAAGCAATTAACCAACTCGCAAATCGCTATTAAAGGTGTATTAGCTTAAAAAGCGATCACGTTAAAAAATAAATACAGTTCACATATACTTATTTTACAGTTTCATTACGTTTCCAAAAAGTTAGTGATCAACCTAAGAGCACTGATTGGTTCAGCTCGCAACGGGAAAAGACAAAGATCTCACAGAATACCAGCGTAAAAGTGTTCCGTATGTTTAGTGTAGATAACCGGAGACCCTTTTTACTGGAAACGAAGCGTTTTATCTCATCCCTCAGCGAGGACAACATATCTGTATTTTGATACTGAACCAAGGATAGATCTAGATGTCTGGCCACGGTGCCCACTTACCATCATGTGAGCTGTGTGCTCACATCTGATTCCGCGCTCGATAATTTGCCAGCCTAATATGGAAATTAATTTAACGACTTTTTTCCATTGCTCTCGTAAGAAAAATATGAGAAAAACCAGAAAGACTTCGAGGACATTAATAAATTGCATTGTACCATTTTGTTCTTATATCACAGATGTACTTACACCAGGGACTGGGATCAGTGGCAAAGGTGCGAGACAGTACTGCCATAAAACCAGCAAAAGATTATGGCATATCTTCGTTATAAGTTTAAGTTTTCTCGGTGGTAACACTTCTTTTCTCTCTAGGTGACCATCCGGGAAAGTACAATCGTCTTTCCTAATACTGCCATCAGATAGCAGTGCTCGCACTGATGTGTTCCGGACTGAAGGGAACAGAGCCAGTATAATTACAGGCTACAGGCGGTGAGACATCCCATCTTAATGCTTACTGTTGATAACGCAGCTGTAATCTTCTTTGTATCAAGTTCGTGGCAAGTGTTCATGGACTACAGTAGCCACTTACCTTACATTACATAGACTTTACGTTCGTCTTTCACTTCTGTTTTATAAATAAAATACAAAGAGAAATCCCATAAATGTGTGTGTGTGAATGAGAAAGAGAGAGAGAGAGAGAGAGAGAGAGTGAGAGCATGTGTAAGAGTGTACGTGCGCGTGCGTACGTGTGTGTGTGAATGTCTGTGCGTGCTTGTGTATGTGTGTCGTATTGTTATACTTGACAACCGCTTTTAGCAATCGCTTCTGAAACAATTGCATACGTATGTATTTAATTACTCTAAGAAAAACTTTCTTTTCCATCAAATATGACAAACGCATAATATCATACTTACCTACCCAGTAATTACTTACCGACAGAACATTGATCCAGCGTTACACATTTGCCGGTAATTTCATCTCTGTAGTATCCTGATTTGCAGAAACAGCCCACTCTACAATCTAGAGTACAAACCCCAGGTTCAGGTAGAGCACACGTTGGAGGACAAGCACTACCGCATGTCGTATACTCTTCGTTTTCGCCGCAGACTTGGTAATCCTCCGCTTAAATAAAAAAATTGTTTTGGTATGAAATTTATTCAAATTCCCAAATATCAAAACAAAAAACAAAAATTCATAAGAAGATATCCGCAGTAGAACAAAATAAGCGGAAGTGGTACCTAGTGCAACCGAATGGGAAGAAATGTTCTTGATTGGAAGCCTCGTACTGATCAAAGCAAAGTGTAGGACAGTTCCATCCCCCCCCCTCACCCCACTAGATTTAATGACGGAGAAGACCTGATAATATATGCAGGAAGTCGATGGATGATTCCGGTCGAGGATTTCTTGAGAGAGGCCTAAGTTTAGCAGTGGAGAATCATAACGTAAAATACTCTGTCCGACTATGGGACCAGCGTCAAAGTTGTGATACATCATACACATATGGTTCTGCAATAGATGGCGATTAATTTTTCATGGCTATCGTAAAAAGCGGTTATCAGAATGATCACAGAGACCTTATAAACAGATGTGGGCGACTGGAATCAGTGTCAAAGATGTGAGGCAATATTACCATCGAACCACCTGAAGATTATGGCCTATTCCTGTTACAAAAATTAAAATTTCTGTATAATAGGACTTCTTTTCTGCCTACGAATCTGTCTGGATAAGTACAACACTCTTACCAATTACTGCTGTCAAATAGCATGCTTGCGCTTCTGTTCCGGACTGAAGGGTATAGAACTAGTACAATAGAACCTCGATAAGATAAAGACCAAGAGAAAAGTTAAATAATTTGAGTTATTGAGGTTTTTACTTACTATGGGTTTAAGTTAACGAGTTTTTTTTTTTTGGTTTATATTTGTCCTTACAGAGATTCGTTTATGAGCTTTATTTAGAAATTATATACACACATAGATCGAGAGTTAGGTTAAATGTTACATATTCCTTTATTTTAGGTTTAGAGATACATTTATTCAAGTTTATTTTACTCTACATAAAAAAGGCGGCCATTGTTTTTGTTTGAAACTATTCATACTTTCTATATCAATTTTATTTTCAATATTAAACAAAGAAGAGACAATATAATCCTCTGTGTTTCTGCATTGCTCTATAAAATATCGTAAAAAATCTCAACAAAAAAGCTAATAACACAATTAAGTTACTGTACTTAGAACTTACAACTTAGTGTATCGTTTACATTTGAAGCCATTTGATAAACCCGTGTAAGCAATCACAATAGGTCTACAGGGAACCTTTATTGTTTGCACATTCATTTAAAATGACTCATTGATAGATGATTGAAGTTGCAAAGGTCGTCTTCGTTACAACTTTGAGTTACTGAGATGCGATGCCATAATTATTCGTTTAAGTTATAGAGGGTTTGTATTTTAGGTAAAAGAGGTTTTGGACTCCGAGCGGAAGGGAACACAAAATTTTATGAATTTCTAGAGGTTATTACGTTATCGAGGTTTCAGTTATCAAGGTTCTACCGTATAATAAGAGATTGTGAGGCATCCCACCTTAACTTTTAGTAGTGATAATACATCTGTAATCTTATTTGTATTAAGTTTGTTGTAAGTGTTCATGGAATACAGTAGCCTCTTACCATAAATTAGACTTTCAAATTCGTTTTTAATTTCAGTTTTATAGATAACATACAAATGGAATGCCCATATGCGTGCGTGTGCGTGTGCGTGCGCGTGTGCGTGTGCGTACGCATGTGCGTTTGCGTGTGCTTGTGCATGATAGTGTGTACGTATGTCGTATCGTTATGCTTGACAAACGCTTCAAAAAGTTGCTTCCGAAATAGGTAATGTCTTTTTTTTAAATCAAATATGACACATGCAAAATGTCATACTTAACTACCCTGTAAGTACTTACCGACAGGACATTGATCCAACGTTACACACTTGCCGGTGATTTCGTTTCTGTAATATCCTGGTTTGCAGAAGCAGCCCTCTATACAAACTAGAATGCAGGTCCTAGGTTCATATTGAGAGCACGTTAGAGGACAAGCACTACCGCATGTCGTATACTCTTCGTTTTCTCCGCAGACTGGATATGTCTCAGCTAAAATAAAATAAAAATTTTGCAGTTCAAATTCCCAAAACGGCAAAATTTAAAAACCGAATAAAATATATTTAAATCATTTTCAACTTCAAATTTGACTACTCACTATAATTATATAATAGATATTGTTTAGGTACTTAGTCATCAACATTACAGCCCTTCACAAGTCCACTGCTGAACATAATGCCCCAAGTAAAGCCACAAAGCACGGTCCTGAGCCACCTGCATCCACCGACTTCCTGCATGTCTCACCAGGTCGTCACTCCATCTAGTGGGGGGTCGCCCTACACTACGCTTACCGGTACAAGGCTGCCACTCGCGAACCTTTCTTCCCCATCGGTTTTCGGTTCTTCGAGCTATATGGCCGGGCCATTTTGTTGGGCTATGTCGGTCACTCGAGTTTTACTGCGGATATCCTCATTTCTGAGTCTATCACGCAGAGAAACTTCGAGCATAGCCCTCTCCACAGCTCGCTGAGCGACCTTGAGCGTCCTCATACGGCCAGCAGTGAAAGACCACGTCTCAGATCCGTAAGTCATCACTGGCACCATGCACTGGTTGTACAATCTAGTTTTTAGAGATTGTTGAGGTATACCTGACGAGAAGATATGTCGTAATTTCCCGAACGCTGCCCAGCCGAGTTGAATCCGTCGATTGACCTCTCGGTCGAAGTTGGACTTACCTAGTCGGACTATTTGTCCCAGGTAAACGTACTCGTGAACAACTTCGAGCTTAGTGCTCCCAACAACTACCGGCATATGTGTGACATGGACATTATACATGATCTCTGTTTTGTCCATGTTTATCTTAAGACCTATCCGTTGGGAGGCACTGTTGAGGTCATTGAGCATAGTGCTTATGTCCTCCAGTGATTCTGCCATAAGGACCATATCGTCGGCAAATCGAAGGCGAGTGATGTACTCGCCATTGATGTTAATAGATACCGTATCCTTTCCAGTCCAATAGCTTGAAAACGTCTTCCAATGCAGCGGTGCAGCAACCTCTATGCAGTTGGATAGGTTTCGAGCTCTGGTTCTGTACTCGGATAGCCATCGTAGCCCTACCGTACAAACACTTCAGCACTTCGATATACCGACAGTCAACTTGACACCGCTGAAGGGACTGTAGCACCGCCCAAATTTCGACAGAATCAAAGGCTTTCTCTTAGTCCACATACGCCAGGCAAAGTGGCAGATTGTACTCTTCGGTCTTCTGTACAACCTGCCGCAGGGTATGTATGTGGTCTATGGTACTGAAGCCTTTTCGCAAACCTGCTTGTTCGGGAGGCTGGAAGTCGTCGAGTCTGCGTGCGAGACGATTCGTAATGACTCTCGAAAACAGCACGTAGACGCGGATCAGAAGGGAAATCGGTCTGTAGTTCTTCAAGAGAACGTTGTCGCCTTTCTTAAAGAACTAGACCATCGCTATTCTGCTCCACGCCTCTGGAGTAGTGCCACCATGGTGGACGGAATCGAAGAGCTTTTGAAGGACTTCAAGTACCGGTGTTCCACCCGCTTTCAGAAACTCCGCTGTAATTCCATCCTCGCCTGGGGCCCTGCCGTTTTTAAGGTGTTGGAGAGCCATTCTAATCTCGCTTAGACTGACGTCTGAGATATCATCGGAATAGTGTCGGATAAGACTTGCTCTTGGATCCTTACTCACACTTGCGTGTGGCTTCAACGATGATGTGTACAGCTGCCCATAGATCCCCTCAATCTCACTCAAAATCGCAGATGTCCCGGAAACGATGCTGCCACACTCAGTCTTCAGCTTTGACAGTTGGCTCTTACTGGCAGACAAATCTCTGGCAAAGACTTTGGAGCCCTGGTTCCGCTCGATCGCTTCTTTAATACTGCTCGTATTAAAGTTACGTAAGTCTCGCCGCATGCATTTGGAGATCTGTCTGTTCAGTTGCCTGTATGCTGTCAAATCTGTTGACGATTGCAGCCTCATCTCCCGTCTAACAGCCATGAGATTAAGAGTGTGATAGGAGAGTTTTTGTGTTCTTCTGCGGCGGGTCTTACAGAACTTAGCTCCGACCGCATGGACAGTTTTCACGAGCTTATCATTCATATTCACTGCACTGCAATCTTGTAGGCACTGAAAGCGGTTACGTAACTCGAGCTGAAAGGTTTCGGGACTCTGGATCAGAGCACGAGGGGGGACGGAACGTTGACTTCATTAGACGAAACCTCTCCAACTTAACGTTTAGGTTTAGTGTGCCTCTAAACATTCGGTGATCGCTGCCAGTTTTCACCCTTGCGAACACTGAGATATCACTGAACAGTTGGCGTCTGGTCGTCATAACATACACATACTTCGTATATAATATGTAATATGTATATTACTATACTCGTAGTTTCTCTATGTGATATCATTCGTATCAGGGTATCCGCAGTAGAATAAAGTAAGCCGCATTGCAACCGATGAGGAAAAAAGTTCTCGAGTGGCAGCCTCGTACAGCTAAGCAAAGTATAGGATGCCCTACACTCATAGAGAATATAACCACTAGAGAGCGTATAGGCAGATTTCTTCTAAGCACACGACTCACTACTGCGGGCCGGGGGCCGAGGAAGAACGCGTGGTTGCAAATGGTCAAGTTGCGATATTATGGCTATCGTTAGGGTTGTTCTTCTTAATAAAGGAAAATATTCGATATCGATAAAATGGATTTTATCATTATGAATAATACTCAATTAAGAACATAGAAATAATATTTAATCAAAATCAATCAGTTACAACGAAAACATGTATTTATTATATTATTATTGATTTTTAAAATGAATTAATTTGTTATATTTATTTCGAATTAAAATTTAAGGGTCCTGATTGTTCTTTGTACACAAACATAAACAAGCGTTTTTATTTTTGTAAATTATGCATCTTCTAATTCAATTAAATGATTTGTTGATTCTATTTCAAATTGATGAAAATGAATATCCGGGAATCAAAATACCCAATCAGAGATTTTAAAACAGATCTAATAAAATAATTGGTATTACATTTCGAAGATAGCACTTTTGAACTACTTTCATTGATCGCCCTCTTAATAAAAAGTTTACAACAACGACAAATATCTATTACTATAGTGGAGCCGTACAATAAATCCGTCTTTTTGAAACTGTAAGGCGTTCTGATTTGGTACACCAATCTAACTAATTTAACTAGGTAACTATGAACTATAACTAGTTAAAAATACCTACGAACTGAGAACCTCCTCTTTTTTTCTGAAGACGGTTAAAAGTAGATAAGTATTTTTTCAAATTGTGTGCATTGAATAATCTTTTTATTAATTTTAATTTTATTATTTTCGACCTTCAGCTATTAAAGGTAACAGTAAGTACTATTATTTACGATAAACACACAAAGGGAAAAAAAGGAATAGAAGCATTAGAATTGTCTAATAATTAACGAGACTATTCGAAAAGACATCAACGCGCGACTCAACCACGTCGTCATTTACCCGGCGACCGTTTTAGATAAACCCCTGCGGTGGCTCATAATCTGAATTAATCAACAATAATTTTCGTATTTTTCTCTTAGCAATGAAAAGTCACTCCATTCTTTTTGGACATCTGTCCTGGAATGTTTCCCACACCACTTCACCGCGCATGAAGGCATTTTGATGCATTATAATTGCATAAAATTTATAAAAATTTGCATTAATTTAGCGTGCACACGGGTCTAACACTTAGACAATACTAAAATGGTTAATAGTACCATAGCCTATGCATAGGCGACAAAATACTAATAGTTTTCGAGCGTCGGGGCATTGTATGCGCTGTCAAGTGGTTATATAGTCTTTGCCTACACCCCACACCCCACCCCACCTCTATTGGACGTAATAACGAAGGCGACCTAATAATCATGCAGAAAGTCGATGGATATAGGTGACCCAAGACAGGGATTCCTTGAGGGTACTCTATCCAACTATAGGACCAGCATCATATCCAGAAAGACCTCGTGGCAATCATTAAATATCTGTATAAAATTTCGTTTTTTTTTTTAATTACAGATGTACTTTTAACAGCGACTGTAATCAGTGTCAAAGATGCGGGTCAGTACTGCCATTAAACCACCTGAAGATTATAGCCTGTCCTTGTTGCAAGTTTAAAATTTCTACGTGGTAGGACTTTCTTTCTGGCTAGGAACTTGTCAGGATATGTATAACTCCCTTGCCTATTACTGCGGTAAAATAGCGGTGCTTGCGCTACTGTTCCAGCACAGAATACATGATAGTACTACGTACAAAATGGCCACTCACCTCCCCGCACTATTTTCAAATACCGCACCCCACCCCACATTTCGTTGTTGACAACACTGACACTTGAACTGACGCGAACACACGATTTTACAATTTAAAAAATTGGTACTAGGTCTATAATTATTGTGTTTTCATTACGATGGTTCTTTATTGTGCTGTATTTGGATGCTTTTCTACTTCAAGGAATTACAAAGACAGGAATTTCTTTCGGTTCTCTTATGTACATATATATATATATATATATATATATATATATATATATATATATATATATATATATATATATATATATATATTGTTATGAGCTTGAGGTTCGTGACAATTAAAAATTGCCGATAGAATTACCAAAATTAATTCTTTAATTCACTTTACACTCATTAAACTTAAAACACTAATAATTAATCACACTGGTTCACTTTATTCCGCTCCGAAGCTTCGCTTGTCTCGCCAAATTCAATACTTCCCCGATCGCATCTTGCAGCGCCTATAAATACAAATTAGCACCGAAACATCCAGAATATTCAAGTAAACACGCGCATAGGGTCAAGAGTTCGAGTGTCAGCTTCTAGAAGCTTAGTTCTTCGTTTCGAGACAAGATGGCGCTGTCGGTTGAAAGATAGTGATGTCTTTTTCTGGACAGCTCCCCTCGCTCTCATCCCTGACACTAGATTGCGCTAGTGCCGGGTACATGACGTCGACTTATTCGCGCAACACTGCCCCCTCCTGAGACATGCTC